AGCAAATATTTGACCGTTTTTATGCGTTCTAGCATATATGCAAACGCAAAAATGTGCAATGACAAGAGGCTGTCTGTGTGTGTCTATGTGTTCACATTTTTTGTTGCCCATTTTCGACTTGAGAACCAGAAATGCTAGAAGGCTGAAACTTCGGGAGCATATGCTTACACCATGTGCGACTCTCCCGTTTTAATATCATCACCCTCGTGTGCCTGGGTTTATTTCATTTCACGTTTTTTGTTGCCTGTACTCCCAGTATGCGTTTTTGCCTCACCGCTGCCTGTTCTTTTGTCTGATGCCACTGCACCATGTACAACCGTGCAAGTCTGGGCCCCTCTGATCGTTGGTATGACGTCAGAGTAATGCTGGAGTAGTCAAAATTTTTACAAAACAAATAGGTAAATTAAGGAAGGAATGGGCAAATGAGAAAGAGGAAAGAGGGATTTCTGGGCCGAGAGACTCCATTTTATCAGGCGGTATAGATTCCTTTACAGCTGGACCTCGTCAGTACGACGGATTTGATGTAACAAATAATGGGAAGAAAGGGAGAGAAAAAAGGAAACAGGGTTAGAAAGATGAAAAAGTTTTGCGAAACTGTTACATATAGTTATAATCGAATGAAAGTCACAGGAGACAAATGGAGCAATGTATTGATGATTCCCACCCCATTTCGCATCGATTCTTCTGCCGAAGTTTACAGCTCAGGGATGAAACAGAAACAGCTTACCAGATCATTGTACATACAGGCTTGCTTATTTGGGAGATCTAAATGGCGCTACTTCCAGTGTGTTTTCATATTAATTATCAAAATTCGATTGTGTTCCTCTCCACGATGGGCCAGTAACGCCAAACAAGCTGCATGTGAAAACACATGGAAGATTTCCGGCCCCGTCCTCTTTCAGTCTCCTAGCCAGGAATATTCATTGTTTTTATCTTTAAAATTTCTGAAACACTTACCCGTCCTAGTATAAATTCACAGGCTTCTTTCTGTAACTCCTTTAAAAATTTAGCATTCGTATGACGTGGTTTACTTTCCTGCAGCCTTCCTCATCATGTTCTTCGTTTCACTCAGTGCTCGAACGAATCGGTGTGGGAATCTGATGATGCTGCTGCACTAGGATGCTTTCATTCTCTTGCACCGTCTTAGACGTGAGAATGGATCTCTCATGCAACTAAATCCCAAACATGGCATTTCAGTTGCGCAGGCTTGAAAGTGAGGGGAGCTTCTACACTCGGCTGCTCTATTATG